ATACTTTGGAGGACTGCGGCGGCACAAGGATTATTATTTTACGTTTTATAAATTTGCGTCATGCAGAGTGCCTAAATTATTAATAAATTAGTTTGTTTAATAAGAAAATCGAAGTTAACACGTTTTATAAGTTCTGTATTTGTTATAAGCTCTCCCCAAAGGAGAAAGTAACACATGCAATCACAATGAAGGAGCCAGTTTCCCATACTGATCACCGATGATTTGGGGTTAACAGCAGCAGTCCAGAAACAGCAAAAGTAGTGGTGCATTTGTTTTACAAAAAAGGGATGAGGAAAAAAGCTTGACCACTACATTTGCCTCACTGCCACAAACACAAGCCCTTGTTTCTTGAGTATCTCATCATAAATACTGAATTTGGCGTAACCATTGTCTCTGTTGTTTTGGTATAAATGTAGTTATGGATTTGAACATTAAAAGTGTAGCATTTTTAGCTTAAACTGGCAGACTTTTACCGGTGAAGTTGGAGTGCTAGTTAGCAGCTACTGCTAATTAGCAGGCTACATTCAAAGCACCGATACATATACACATATGTTAATTTATGCTACGCAACAGACTAATAAAACACCAGAATTTCTTTTACCAAAAATGAAGCATAAACTTCCTGGACAGAAATTTGCGTATCATTTCAAAGGCTGTTTGACATATTATGTGATTCTTGGTTATCTTTGATGAGCTGACACATCTAACAGTGTAAATCCAACTATAAAAATCTGAGTAAAATATATTACAAATTAAAAAAGGAAGCTTCATTATTCAACACGAAATTAAAAAATTGAATAAATTAGATTGTCTTTTGTCCATCATATTGTGTTAAATCGCTTAGAATATAAAACAAAAGTATAGAAGTCGATACATACGAGCCAGAATGTAGAATATGTTATATATTTTTTTTATTTATGCAGGTCAAACGTTCAACTGTGAAGTCGTGATTTGCAATTTCCGACTGTCCACAAAAGCAACAACAGCAGAGACGTGGCCGTCGTTGCGGCTGTTGCGTTCAAGTGGCGCAGTGTCCCGTCTGGAGGCAGAGAGGGCGAAGTTTCACTCTCTGCATTGCAGCCTGAGCGCTGCTGCTGGAATTCAACACAACAATGGCGACTCCCAGTCCTAACAGCAACTCCACTAGCTCCAGCAACAACAGCAACATCGTAGGATCAACGTCGCACCAACTCCACCAGCAAACACAGAGCAGCAGCATGCAAGGTAGGCGAGCACTGGCTCCAGTTCACAGTTTTATATTTCTACTGGGGACATAAGAGTTTGTAGGAAAGGGTAGCCTTTAGCTTCCTAAAAGCAGAAACACTGTAGTCAAGAGAAACCCAATAAGCAAGTCTTTTCGGTCAGAACTTTCAAAATAAAATATGTTACGCGGCCCATGTCCGGAAACGTGACCAATTTAATGCATCTGTTGCAGATGCTCCGCTTATGTTAATGCAAAATGCACACTTTTGCCAAAACAAGCCATAATAGTGGTCGAAACGCCTTTTCTTTGAGTAAGGGCAATCTGTGCACCTATTTGGTTAATCATAATTAAAATTAAAATGAGCAGTTAGTGACAAGCATCACACATGTAAGTGTTTGCATGTTAAATCCGATTAAAAAAATATTCACACCATGTAGTTGATTAGCTTAAACTAATCAAAGGCTTTACTGTAGGATCTGAGTAATTGTCTGTCGACAAGCAGCGCTTTTACTTTGACGTCTGACTTGTGAGACTTCCGCTAATTCTGTCTTTCTGCGCTTAGCTTCATCTCCATCTCCCTGAAACTGCACTGCTGCTAGGCTAGCAATGATGCACAAGCTTCAGTTTAATTGTTGTACCAACGGGCCTGTAATGGCATAGTCAAGTGTTTTCATTCCGGAAGTTTGAATCGTACATCTCGACTCTACCTTAAAAGTATTACGTTGTTTAAAAAATGAGTTCTAACTATTTTAACTTTTTCGCCTTTGTTATTAGCAGAGGGCTGCTACAAGTAGCCTCAAGGCCTACACTGAAATGTACTTCTGTCCCCGGTCGGGCCACTGTTTCAGTGCTTGGCTCCTAGTAGCAAATAAATGATGGCGCTAATAAAGTTAAAGTTGGGGCTATCAATTCTATTAAGTGTCAACATTAAATTCTGTTGGCTTCAGGCCATACATAACGTTACTTGTCTTCCTTGTGTTGCTAACGGTAGTTGTGTCGGTGGTTTCATAACGTGTTGACACAAATCACCTCGATTTGTAAAATAAATGTAAAGTCTAAGCCTTTATATTTGTTAAGTGTACATCTCTATCTAGTTAATGCCTCTGAGCGCACACTGTCATCTCTTATCGGACAGGCAAACCTCGTGACAAAACCTGTAGTCAGCTAAGATTTGTTTTAGTGAGGTCACACATTTTAATAATGTGCTGTGAGGAACAGAAACGTCTACTGAAACTTGATACATAAAATCAAATTTTCTTATTCTACATTAATCCACTGGGCATATAAAAGAGCATGATCGCAAGAGAGTCCTCAGTAAAATCTCCAAAATAATTATTAACACTTGACAAAAATACTTAACTAAAAAAGGGAGACAACGTATTAGTTTAATTTTTGCGAATGCAATATCGACATTATGTTTAAATTGAGGTAACAAAGAACTTTTGACCATAGGGTTTTTCTTACAGGAAGCTAATTTTAGCACCTTCCTGTTGAGGGTTTAGGACACTGTCTTGATTACCTCTGTTTACAAATTAGATTTAGATTTCAGAAGCAAAGATAAATCACCACAAAAACTTTTGAATGTTGAAGGTGACTGCTGTCAGGAGTAAAGTTGCTCCTGGTGCTGTGGTATATGGAAGACTAACACCCCCCATATAAGTGTAATTACAAGAGGAGGGGAAAAAAGTCAATTTTTGGGCTACAGCTCCATAGGATGCTATTTGTTCTGACTTGCTTGTCACCCCCTATGAAACCCTAAGTCCTCAGAGTAGGAGTTCTCAGCTATAGTTGAAATTCTGCAGATATACAGGGACTCATGTAGTGACAGCTGATGGGTGTTTTGGGGGGTTAAATAGAGTTCTTATTGTCATTCATTAACCTTGATTGCACACACATGTAAAGTGCTTCACATACATTTAGCTGTGTTTGTTCCAAGAGTTGTCATTTCACTGGAAAAAGCCAGCAGAGCAGGTTAGGCAGACTTGCATGTAATAATGGATGTGCTCATAGTATGTCAGGAGGGCTTTACTCTGGATTTTATTGATTATTAAGCGCCTAATCCTAAGCCTCAACAGCCATATCTGACTTTGTAATTTCTTGCTCTGTGGCAGTATCAAATGTTTTATCTAAACCTTGCAGAAACCAACACCTGCTGGAGATGTCAAAATGAAACAGGTATTCAAACTTATTTTATAAGGTTTTAGTCTGATTTGGGGAGATTTTGTTTTTTGTTGAGTTGAGAAAAAAATCTATTTTTATAATTTTTAGGGCCAATCTTGGCAGAGGAATTTATTGAAATGTCCCCATCGCTTCCCTCTGTTGGTCTTTTTCTTTTGTTTGCATAAAGTTATTGTTTTCCATTTTTGTAATACCTGTAATTGTATTATCTTTTTTTTCTGCATGTTTTCAACTGAGTTTCTATGTTAGAATGACCTGATGTAGACAGACCCCATTTGATGAGACACTGTTAAGTGTGGTTTCCATTGTATTAACACTATACCAGCTTGGCTGTTGAAGTGGCACATGCCAGTTTTTAGTGGCGGGCCACTGTGAAACTGTGGTGTTCTGCTAAGCCAACAAAAAGAGAATATCAGTCTTGTTCCACCGGCAAATACCAGTCATCACTAGTGTGTTATCTAAGTTCATAGTATTTTACTACTGTCTTTTTATAAAGCTAACAAACATCGTAGCTTTTAGTATTAGTTTTATTTACCTCCACCCGACTCCCCATTGTGATTAAATTCAACGGTTGCAGGTAATTAACTTTATTACCAAGAATTTGCAGCACGAAATGTATTTTTGTAATACAAACTGTTTTTTTTGTTTTTTGTTTTTTTTGCTAAGACTGTTTTATCAGCTAGCTTTAACTATAAAACGTGTAGCCCTTTGTTTTAATTTTTTTTCCCACAAAAATGTAATTTTCTAAGATATTAGTTTATATACTTACATTTAAGGTACAATGGCAAACAGTGACATTGAGTTTGTTTTAATAAGCTGTATTTTGACTTTGTAGTGCTAAGCATACGTTAGCAAAAAGGGCTAACGCCAAACCAAGTATAGGAAACAATGTAGTTTATTTTAATTTTACTGTCACTTTTTAATGCAATCCACTCATTCTTCTATAGTAGTTCATACACTGATGATACAGTATCCAACTTTAATAATAATCTTGGCAATATGGAAAATTGAACTATTTGCTTTTTTGCCATATGCTTTTAGTACTGCTAAGAAGCTAGCAGCCAGCTATCCTAGCTTGGCACAACGATTGCTATCTATCTATTAGAGGGTCACAGGAAGTAATTGCAAAAGCCTAAAACAGTTTTATATAGGCAGCAGTGACAAATACATGTAATTGATTATTGTTCTGGTGGTAGTATTTGCAAGTGGAACAGCAGAAAGTAGTGCCACAAGACTGGCAGAACATTGGTTTTTCAAAATAAAACAAAGTAAGATGGTACTGAAATGACTGTTAAAATTGAACTATTTTGCCAGTAATACAGCAAACACTACATCGGTTATACATGGCAGTGCACTGAGCAAGACCCACCAAAATGTGGCACATCTTTTGCCAGCTAAAGCACGTTCTCAGTATCCTGACCTGTTTTCCATTTTCAGCATTGAATCATGCTGGGACGGCATTTATCAAACGTGGCCCATTTAAACTCTTAACAACACATTTCAAGAAAATGTAGTAAAAATGTTTTTTTCTTTACTTCAGGGTTTCAGATAAGCCTGTCTGGAATACCCCAAAGTAAGCATTAGACTTGCACACAAAGCACACAACCTCTACTCTTTGTGGGGACACCTCAGTAGTGTAAAGGAGCATCCTTCCCTCTGTTATTGTAGCCGTATTCAACACTGGGCTCATTCTTGCCTCCTGTTACTGAGCTTCAGTCTTGATTCATGGTTTATACTATTATATACATGCACGTGCGGAATTGGATAACACAGGTGAGAGGATGCCACTGTATACTACTGAAACAGCCTGTGTGGTGCTCTGGTAGTGGGAGAGTCTGTCCACTGTTCACTGCTGTTAATTGTCACAAATATATTTATTTCCAAGAAAGATTCATTTGCACTGGGGCTTAAAAGGCTAAGGGATCTGTTTGCACTCAGGAGCTGGTTGGACAGGGCATGGCAGAGACAACTTAACACTTGAACTCAGCACTTTCAACAATGCCTAAACTTAATTACCAACTCTATTTGGGTGATGCATTCATATACTCACATGCACCTAACAGTTAATTCAACCTATGTGTCCTCAGTCTGAACGAAGTGCTGTCTTGAGTGTTGGGTCGCTTTCACATGTCAGTGGGAACTGTTTAGTGTTGACATGCACATTTATAAAGATTATTGATGGAAACATTCTGAACAGGGATTCCCAATGTTAGCACCCTGCTTAGTGCACAGCATACTAGCCTGATAGCTTGCACACATGCTGCATGCCATTTGTTCAGAAGGTTATAGCTAAAAGGGCTTGTGCAGTACACCTATCTGAACACTGGGAACCCCTGTACATTTTTGCTTGTTCAAAACCTTTTGCTTTCTCTAAGCTTCAGAAGAGCTTGAGATAACTCCAAAACCTCATGCCACAGATTTTTTTTCCCCACCCTTCCCTCATAGTCATATTTTTCAAATGCAACTGTATAATGCACATGAATGTGTTTATACTTGGATTATATTAAGTTGCTGTGGCATATTGAGACTTATCTCAAGTGTAGAAAGACAATACTGAGGTAAGAAAGGCATTTTATCACACCACGTGTATCCTCTGTCTTCACCAGTTGGTTGAACCCACAGAGTGGTGTGCATGTGGTGGCACTGTGCATCTGTTTCTCTCTTTGTCCTACCAGGTAAACGCAAAGCTCTGAAACTGAATTTTGCCAACCCTCCAGTGAAACCGGCTTCCAGGCTCCCACTCAATCCAACAGTTCCCTCTTTCCAGAACCCTCACATGTGAGTAAAGATAGTTGGGACATGATGTCACTGGAACTAGATAAGGGGTTGTATATAGAAATTGAACATAGCCTCTGGACCTGATAACAGTAGAGTGAATTTGTCAGGCCAGCAGGGGGCGGTGCCTGGTTGCAAAAAGCAGTCCTGTTGTGTAGACGTTTACAGAGAAACGACACTGCTCATTTGCTTCATAACCTCAGGAAGTACGTTTTGATTATTAAGTTTCTTTGTGAGCAATTTTCCAAAATCTCTTCAAGTTACTATGACAACAGAAATGTACTGACTACATTTGCTTCTGTGTAAAACATTTGTAGAGTTGGTTCTTATGCTAACCACTTTAGCTTGCTTGCATTTTTTTTAAAATTTTTTTTAATTGACATGTTGCTACATTTCCTGGCAATTTGTTGAGTGCTGCGCAATGGCACAAAATCACTGACACGACTGTTTTTCAGCACATGTTCATATTTCTGGTTGCACAACATGCAGTCTAAGTTGGGGCATATCCTTAGAAATACTGCTTAATAGCACTAATGGCGGTCAAATCTTTATGCATCCTGCACCTTTAATATCAGGAGGGGAGTTTTTAATGATAAAAATATTACAAATACTATGTTCATATTTTGCCATCTTGTCAAATCCCACATACCTGATCAGATTTTAAAGCCGGTTCATGGAAACTTTACAGTTTGCATAGAATTAATTTCTGATTAAAATATAATCAGAAATATTAAATCTAAATGCTGTCATCGTCCCACATTCAACAGAGAGCGCCTACGGACACACAGTATTGAGTCATCTGGGAAGCTGAAGATCTCCCCTGAGCAGCACTGTGACTTCACTGCAGAGGATCTGAGAGACCTTGGTGAGATCGGCCGTGGGGCGTATGGCTCCGTCAACAAGATGGTCCACAAACCCACAGGCCAGATCATGGCTGTCAAGGTAGCCCAATGATAGACTATTAGTGATCTGGAGAAGTTTGTTTCCTGTAGTCTGCTTTTTTAAAAAAGACTGAAATGTCTGTCTCAAATTAAGATGATTGCTGACTAGAATTCAATCAAACTACAAATGTTTTGAGTTTAACAGTGAGGAGCATCCACATGTTAGGCTTTGAGTGTGCGTGAAAATATTTGCCTGTGCTGCTGTGCGTGTATTGCACATGCATAAAACAGATGTAATCAAACATATGGAAGGCTGACCAAGCAGTGACCAGTGAGGGTCCAGAACGCGTGAAATCAACCAATTCCAGTCTCTGG